GACCAGCAAGGCCCTCCCCACAGCTGAGCTGCCAGCACCAGTGCTGGATAGCCAGTGAGATCGCAGCCCTCCAATTGGCCTGCCCCAGCTTCTGGCATCATAACAGCAGGCTGGGGGAGTGGGTCTGGAGGAGTCCAGTGGAGCATTGGTGGGGCCAGAAGAGGCAGTTTGGAAAAGCAATGCCTTCCCCTGCCTTCAGTATCTGCCGCCCATGCATTGAATCTATGTATATGTATTTCCTTTGTGCCCCAGTGAATTGCAATTTCTCAGGTATTGATATGAGGAAGAAGTACAGCAGCTTAATTGTGTTAGTGTCAAAAAATGGTACAATGAGTCTGAACTTCACATGATGGATGTAGTCAAAGGCTGAAAATAACAGTGCAGGGCACCTTAAAATGCAGTGGTCAAAGAATTAATGTCATAAATGATGTCTTACCAGCTCAATGCATCGTGACTCCCCATTTCTGATGTGAGAGCTGGTGTTCAGCGGATGGAGGCAAGTGTGGGTGTACGAGGAGGAATGGCTCTTTAAATGAGGAACATTTGAGAGGTAAGGCAGGCAAGGTTAGGTGATGAAGTGTGTCCCTGCTGTACTTTGTTGTCATGCTTCAGTGATTTTCCTCTCAATTAATACACTTTTAAGGCAACTTCCATATTTCTGATTGTCTTATAAAATGTTCATGCATCAGGCCTCGCAACACTTTAGAGGCCTAATTTTTCAGATGGAGAAACTGAGGTACTGAAGAGTTGCAATTTGCTCAGGGCCAAACAGTGAGTCAGTGACAGAGCCAGGAGTAGAACCCAAACTTCCTGTCTCCCTCTAGTCTATGCACAACCTCTGCACTCCCTCCCATCACTATCCTAAATTTTTTTAAGGCTAAACATTCTCTCTTCTCATTCAGGAAGCAATAATGACAGGATCAAGAGTAATTTCTGAGTTTGAGCTACTTCCAACTTAGTCCATATGGGAGAATACTCTGGTTTTCACGGAATAGTTAAATGCTGAATACTTGCCAAATTTCAAGGATTTAATATTCAGCCAAATCTTTTCCCAGTTAGTGGAGTCACTTTTCCCTTTAAAGCAAACTTTACAAAGCTCTTCAGGATACACATTTCCTGCGTTTTGCTTTGTTTGTTTGAGAACGTACTAATAGATCAGGTACAGAAATATTCTCAGAATGTCATGTACAAATCTAGATTGCCTGAGAATTTCCCCAGTTGCTTAGCACGGCCCAAAACAATTAAATATGTTCAAGCAGGATTATTATTTATATATTCCATAGCACTCCATCAATGCTTGTCATCTAAAAAAACCCAGGTAAGACATGGTCCCTGAACAGAACTATTGGTCTAATTTTAGATGTGATGCAACAAACGGGTAGCCAAAAAGTAGGAGTGAAGTTGATTGGTAAGTGAAATGTACAAATGTTATTGCTGGCTCATTTTTTTCTGTCTCAATAGTGGCCATGTCCTCTAAGGAAGGAAGAGCATATTCCTAGATTCTGTGCTTTAAAGGATCATGCTGAACATTTTGCTCTCTCACTCCTTCAACCTTCTAAACATATCTTGTACTTTCAGTACCGTTTGGAAATCCTATGTTAAGGGCAAGCTCATCAGCTAGTATAAAGTCACACAACTGTATTACTAGCATTCACATGTTTCTAGATACTACCTCTGCTCTAAATTGGTTAACTACTTTTCCCAAAGGGAGCAGGGGATGCCATGTGGGGTTAGCCTGAGTCCTCCTGCCTCTGTGTGTGGGGCTGGCCCTAGCTGCTTGCCTAAGCCTGACTCCCCACTACCTCTCCTTGCCCCATGTAGGCAGGTGGCACTGCCCACTCCCTACATAAGCTTGAGGCTGGTGTCACTGCTCACCCAAGCCCTGCCTACCCCCCAAGTTCCTCTGTGCCCTACTTTTTTTTTAAACAAAAGTGGGCATTTGTACTGTTTGCTCATGGCAAATGATCAAGTCAGCAAGAGCAAATGGGGCAAATGCCTACGTCAGCCAAAAAAAGTCTGAATAGCTGGGGCATGGCTTTAAAAAGGGACTGTGCCAGCCAAAACAGGTTGTATGATCACTGTACCTATATACAGAGGTTCAGTAACCAAAGTGGGCCATTTTTATGTTTATTGGGCACTCTCTTTTTTCCTTTGCTCTTATCTATTTTGCTGTCTTGTCCGCAGGGGTATAGGAATCAACAGCTCTGGCCACCTATAGTGTGTGTTTAGCAGCTGCAAGACATAGATGCCAATCTTCAAAATGCATTTTTCTAGCAGCAATATCTCCTGTGTCTGGCTTTTTGGTTGACATTAGGAATAAGGTTTGAGGGCAACCTGGGAATTTCCTTAAGAATGTAGAAGAATAGGTCTCAATAACAACTTCACTCAGTCTAAGCCTTTCTTCTGGGGACATCACTAGTCCCTTATACATATGAAAACTGAGTCTTGTCTGATTTTTCTCCAACACACCATGCTTGAGGTGCTAATGTGCAAGATTTTGAAAATTCCCAGCACTTATAAGAAAACAGCCTTAGGCTGCCTGGGGTTTTATGGGAGAAAAAGAATGTGAATCAAAAAATTGAATTCACAGAACTTTGTGTGTGGCCTTGTCTGCTATGCAGAACATCTTTGTGTATGTTCATGTCTGCTGAGGTTTTGAGAAAAGTCTTTTACTTGCATAGAAACAAACTGTCATAAATCAAACTGTTTACGTTCTTAAGTGTTGTGTCGTATTTCTTGACTGAGATAGTGAAACAAATTAAACAAAAAGCTACACAGATTCTTCTCTTAGAAAACTTGACAAAATTGTTACTGATTCAGATTATAGCAGTAGGTAGATTTGACTAACTTCATTTTCCATTAAACAAGATATCTCCGCTGACATGCTGAAAGTAAATACTAAGTACAGTACAAATAGGCATTTTTCACATTAAATTACATACAGAACGATGGTCTAATTGTTGCCCTCTTTCCACCTACATCCCAGCTTTTGTTTGAAGATTTCTCTGATAACCTTACCCTAAAAGGAGCTAGATTATCAAATCCCACTAGCTTTCACCTCACTCTCTTAGGTCCAGCCTAAAGACAGATCACAACAGAAGAAACCTGATGCACTGATTTTTCATCAGGGCTGCGTCTAGACTGGCATGATTTTGCGGAAATACTTTTAACGGAAAAGTTTTTCCCTTACAATTATTTCTGCAAAAGAGCATCTAGATTGGCACGGATGCTTTTGCGTGAGAAGTGCTTTTGCGCAAAAGTATCCATGCCCAGTATAGACGCGCTTTTGCGCAAGAAAGCTCCGATGGCCATTTTAGCCATTGGGCTTTCTTGCGCAAAAAATTAAGGTGCCTGTCTACACTGGCCCTCTTCCGCAAGTATTCTTGCTCACGAGGGCTTATCCCTGAGCAGGAGCATCAAAGTATTTGCACAAGAAGCACTGATTTTGTACATTACAAAGTCAGTGCTCTTGCGCAAATTCAAGCGGCCAGTGTAGACAGCTGGCAAGTTTTTGTGCAAAAGCATCCGCTTTTACACAAAATCTTGCCAGTCTAGACACACCCCAGCAGAGTATCTCTATTGACTTCAGCAAAGCTACATAGATTTTGTAGTCTTTGAGGTGCCTTTGGGGACAAAATGAATAGGTTTTAGACTCTTCATATTTAGAGCCCTGCAAGGATACAAAATTTGTACAGTATCTGCATCCACATCTGTATCTGCAAAAATGAGCCACAGATCTGCATTGAGATCCGGGGTTGCGGATATTCATCAATATAGAGTGGATATCTGCAAATTTGCAGAGTTCTAGATACAAAATTTGTATCCACATCTGCAAAAATGAGCTGCCGATATTCACAATCATTCACATCCATGGATGTGGATACCCACAGAGATGTGGATACCCAACTGAATACTATAAAGCAGATATCTGTGGATTTGCAGGGATCTAGTCATATTAGAAAGGTACCTGTAGTTTTTCCAGGGAATGTAGATTATGTGTGACCTTCTAAAGGGAAAGGTAACCTAAAAGGTGCCTACATGAATATATAAGCACCCTAACAAGAGTGGCCTAATTTTCAGAGGTGTTGACCACCAAAAGGCAAAAAAAATGGGCCACTCTTATTTAGGTCTGAGATGTGTATTTTAAGGGTCTAACTTCAATCAGCTTCAGTGGGTAGCCGAGTTTGTCTGTGCCCACAAAAGCTCATGATACCATCTACATGTTTTGTGAGTCTATAAAGTGCTAACAGACTATTTGTTGTTTTTTAAGTTTAACTTCAATCAGCCAGGTTTCCAAATGTTGCCCTTATTTGTCTGAACACTTACACATGCTCATTGTGGTGCTGTTTCCTATTAGTGGTGGCTGAGTTGTATATGGACATGGATGAAACTACTCCAGCTTTGGCTACGAGAACTGGTTTGTTTAACTGAGCAGTGGAGGATCATGCTTTCAGATCCAAAGGTCCCATGTTTGATCTCTCCTGCCAGTGACCCATCCAAGGAATAAAAGAAGCTTATCCAACCACTTATGTCTGCAAACCTAATCTGGAAATCCTAGCATGAGTTAAGTCTTAAATTGCTCAGTCATTTTAATCTGTGAATGTTATGTAAAACCCTTGTGGAGGCATCAGGAGAGGGGGGAATGTGGGTGACACATCAGGGCCATAAAAGCTATTGGAGTCAGAGGGCTATCATAGTATACTGTAGGACTGGAAGGTTATCTAGTTCAGTCTTCTGTACTAGACCATTCCTGACAGGTGTTTGCCTAACCTGGACCTAAAAACCTCCAATGATGGAGATTCTATAATTTCCCTAAGCAATTAGTTCCAGTGCTTAACCACCCTGATAGTTAGGAAGTTTTTCCTAATGGCTAACTTAAACTTCATTTGCCTCAATTTAAGACCATTGCTTTTTGTCCTATCCCCAGAGGGTAAGTAGAACAATTTTTTCCCTTCTCCTTGTAATGATCTTTTATGTGCTTGAAACTGTTACATGTCCCTTCTCTTCTACAGACGCAATACACCCATTAAAAAAAATCCTTTCTCCCGTCTCTTCTACAGACGCAATACACCCATTAAAAAAAAAACCCTTTTTTCATATATCATGTTTTCTAGACCTCTTTACATTTATTTTTGTTGCTTCTCTCTGGACTTCCTCCAATTTATCCACACCTTTCCTGAAAGGTGGCATCCAGAACTGGATGTAACACTCCAGCCTAGTCCTTATTGGTGGAAAAGTTTTTCTGCCCATGAGGAAAGATTCCTCCCTTGACACCCTCATACATCTGAGACAATAAGCTTGGGAGCCATTTCCACCTTTTTCACGTTATCAGTAAATGTTGCCATGATGGAGAGGCCTAGTAAACAAATCTGGATTTGATTTCTTCCACCCACTCACACAGTCTCTCACAAGGATAAGTTAAGATCAAGGCTGAATTAAACAAGACAGGACAACCACTCTGCCTTGTTGCTGAGCGACGAACACAGCACTCTGTTAGCATATTGTACTAAATGCCTTTATACACATACAGTGATAATAAGATAATTTGTT